GCCCGGAGTTCCCCCGGTGTTGTTGCGGGAGCTGCTGCACTAGCTAACGCTGCATTAGCAAAACAAACGCACATTTTGTTTGCAAAAGGTGCAGCGGGCTTCCAACACGTTCCCCTCCACTGGTTTCAACCGAGCACTACATTTGATGTTTTCCAACCAAATACAGTTGAACTTACACTTCCCCAAATTTATTTGTAAGTAGATTCGAAGATACCTAATTTCTGACTGCCGCTAGCTGAAGCTTGGTTGCTAGGTTACTAGCTGGGTGTTCTCCGATAAGGGGCCGGGGGAAACAAAGTTAATGATTACTGGTTCCATGTTGATTTATTTCAATACAAATTGTTGGGGGGGAACTGAAAGGCTATTACCGTTAGGGATGCCAGTGATTATTCGATTATTCGGGAGGGGGGGTTGGTCGAATAATCGATTATTATTCGCCAGGGCTGCCGAATAATCGATTTTGATCATGGTCAGTTTCTGGCAACCCTAATTACCGTACTGGCTACTTTGCAGCCCGGACATTTCCCCCAAAACACATTTAGACGCGATCTCAACACAGAAGTACCTTTCAAATCCAAACATTTTTAAGACCTTCTAAATCATATTTAAGACCTTTCTTATTTTATCATATTTAAGACCTTTTTAAAGCCTTAAATTCAGATTATCAAATGTAATACTTTAGGACCCCGCGGGAACCCTGTTACAATACAATGAATCACCACAATGCATAATAGTTGTTGTTCTGTTTCCATGATTGCTGAAACAATTTGCTGGTCACATAAAGATGAATGCATTACCTGTTCTTTGTTAGACTCCAAGGCTGGTAGAACTTCTTTTACCGTCCTCTCCACCAACACTCCTCCTACAAGACGAAAGCATTTCCTCGAAGGATCCACTTCCTTCAGGGTTTCAATTACTAAGCTGGATGGAGGAAAAAAATGTAGACAAAAAGTGATGTTATAAACAAAAAATTGCACCTCAAAGATTCAATAAGCAGATGTGTGAGTATCCTCTACCAACCTGTGCTCATTGATATCCATCTCGAAATCTGCAGATTTAGAGGCCATACTGCGCTGCTCCTGACGCATCCTTTGGAATGTTGCCACCACCTGACACACAAAAAAACACCATCAGAAACAATACAGAACTACAGTACTGCAGTGACAACACATTTCCTGTATTGATCATCAATCAAAAAAGTCAAATGTTTAGAGAGTACATTTCTTTTGACTGTTACAACCTAAGAAAAACTGTTTTATTCTAGTCTTCATGGTGTTATATTACTATTTTCTTAATTTGTTATATTTTCACCATTGTTTTTAGCTTGCACTTTTTCTGTTAAGTCTCATTCTGCTTTTACTTCAGTGACCTTATATTTGTGTGCATAAGAAAAATGTACTCAGGATATATTTACTTGTTATTAAAAGCCACACAGTGCACACTTTCTTAATCTATACAGTACACTATTTGTATATTGTACTGTCCTTTAAGTAGATTGGTATATTAGAGAGTATTCAAATGTATTCGCTATATTATTATAGTGTGTAGATAGGTTTTCAGTAATAAAAATAGCTCCAGTCCTCACACTGACTTTCACTGAGAAACACTATTCAGCACAGCACTCAATCCACTTATAAGTGTATGCTTATTAAAATGCAGTTAACGCATTGATATAAGCACACATAAACTCTTTATAAATGAAGGCTCCTTATATGGCTTCACTCTGTTTTTTGTGATGAGAAGGCAGAATGCTGGCGATGGGGAAGCTAATGTTAGCATCGGCTAGCTGGGAGCCACGTTTTCGGCTTTAGCTCCACCGGATTGAACCACAGAAAGACTAATCGCGGGTGTACCGACTGAAGCAGACCGGGCTGGAGGGGACGGTACCTGCTCGGCAGACGGGCCGGACGGCTTTCCTCCGGCGCTGCTGCCGCTGCTGGATTTGCTAACCGTGCTGCTACTGTTGGCTGCCATCTTGGAAGGGTGTTGCTGAGAAGGACCCCGAGCAGAATGTATAGGGATGCTTGTTGTGTGCCTGTGCGGAAATATATATTTTTTACTTTGAATTTTGAGGGTATCTTGTATTCTTAATGTTGCAACACTGCCATCTCCTCGAGATACAGTAGGTCATATTTTCCTAATCAGTATACTCTTTACCATTATCTGTTTCTGTTTGCACCAATGTTTTTTACAGTAATGTCCATTGAAAGGCACAGTATTTCCCTCTGAAAGGTAGTGCAGTATGAAGAAACATCAAATAGACAAAGATTGGACTTAAAACAGATCGCAATTTTTAAAAAAAGATAATCAAAACATCTTTAAATGTCAATTAAACGTCAGCTGTAAAAATTAATAACAAAAATAGTGAAATTCATAATTGATCAATTATTCAAAGTTCAACATGTCAACTGACCAAGTGGAAAACTCTGGTGTCAAGATAAACAGAATATATCAAGATAAGTGCAGGATTCATGTTTCTACGTTATCTACAAATCGCAAAAAAAATCACAAAAAATCCATTTTACATTGGTTAAAGTACACCCAAACCACTCTACCAACCACAAAGCCTTAAAAACATAAAAAATAAATGTAAATTTTTCAAGATAATCATCTCAATATGTATTGTTTTAAAAAATCTATTAAAACATAAAATGTAATCAATCCTCTCCACCAGTGTTGTTGCGAATGCAGTCCAGCAGCTGGAGCCAGTGTGCCTTCGTGCTGGTTTCTATCCTTTCGAAATAAGGAAGAAGAAGAAAGTAGCCCTGCTAATCCTTCCTGCTGTACACTAACCACACTGGACGTATTAATGTGCTACTAACTTGGACTAAACAGGGGAGGTGAAGCTCTGTCAGTGTCACTGGGACCAATGTTCACGGCCAGGTGCATTTTGGGAACATCTGCAAAGTATTTGACCTCTCTCCCAGCTCCGAGACAACAGATCAAGCTCCAAAACAGGTGAGTTTATTATTCTGACTAGAGAATTTATTGTTATGCGTCTCTCTAAACAAGGTTAAATTATAATAAAGACTACATTCGTATTGTGTTATGTAAATCGATGTGACCGGCAGAAAGAGCATCAATACATTTTATAGTTATTGATCCAGATATTGCATTTAAAGGTCCCACTATCCTAATAAGTACAATATGATAGGAGACACAATAACTAGTGCAATTAATGATCAAACATAACATATTTGCCAGTCATGCTGCTTTTGTGCACATAATAACCACCTCTTCTCCCTGCAGGATGTCGACCTTACTTCGCCCGGTGGCTGCAGTGTGTCAGGTGACCGTCACCCCGGATAAAAAGGCTAACTTCTCCGCCTGTAAACAGCTGGTGGAGGAGGCCAAGGGGCGAGGGGCCAGCATGGTCTTCCTGCCCGAGGCCTTCGATTACATCGGATCCAGCCGAGAGGAGACGCTGTCGCTGTCTGAGAGTCTGACAGGAGACACAATATCACAATACTCTCAGCTGGCCAGGTACACACACTGCTTCGTAATCATTGACATGGGTCCAATGTTTTGTTGTTGTTTGGGGGAGACATTTTTCTTCAGTCAGATATTTTTCAATAAGCTGCTGGCTGAGAGCAGGATACACTACTCTTACACATGTATATAATCTTGCATAGATTTAAGCTCCTTCGAAGCAAATGAGGTACACAAAAAGGTGTTTTACTTCCTGATTCTTGCCTTACTAATCTACTGTTGGCTTCATGAATTAATAAAAAGATAGAGACCTTATGTCCCGTAGTATTTGGAGCTAGGGAAACGGTGAGGTTCAGTATGTTTATTTTAACATAGTGTAAATATGTATTCTATAGCCTAGTAAATATGTTGGTTATGTGTATCCATCAGCAGGCAGGTACTTCCAGATTTGAAAAATAAGCACTTTTTCAGGATTTCTTTATGTATTTTTTAACCATTCCTTTTTCAGGAAGTTGGAAGTGTGGCTGTCTCTTGGAGGATTTCATGAACGAGGACATAACTGGGAGTCTGACAGACGAATCTACAACAGTCACATCATAATTAACGATAAAGGTACTGTCCATTGAACAAGCTCTCTTTAAAATCCCACTCAGTTGCACACAGAAACATTAATTATTTTCCACTTGATGATTCCTTATGGTACACATTCTGACACGTTGTCATTGCACCCACAGGTGAAATCGTTTCAGTCTACAGGAAGTCCCATTTATTTGACGTGGAGCTGCCAGAAAAAGGCGTATCACTTAAAGAAAGTGCCTTCACCATCCCTGGACCCTCCCTCGTGTCTCCAGTCCAAACTCCCATCGGCAAGGTGTCCTTTATAACCAGACTTGTAAATTCACAGAACATCTTCATATTAGATGAGAGAAAACAACAAAAATTAGGAAACATAAGTACATTTTGCCAGCTCTGTAATCTCAATATTAAACACTAGCCAGCAAATATTTGAGATTGTAAAGAAAGCGTTTCCTATCTCTATTTAAACATTATGATCAGCTTGTTCTTAGTCTTGGTTTTTAACTATTCTCTTTTTGTTGCCCCAGGTTGGCCTGGGCATCTGCTATGATCTGAGGTTCCCAGACTTATCACTGGCTCTGCAAAGGCAAGGCGCTGATATTCTTACCTACCCATCAGCCTTCACTGTAGCCACAGGAGCTGCTCACTGGGAGGTGGGATGAGTCACAATACAACTACATGTGTTGGCTTACTAGTGCTTGCAAAGACAGGATATCTATTAGATTGAAACCCAAGCAAAACACAAACTTGATGTATTTGTATCCAGGTGTTACTGCGTGCACGGGCGATAGAGACTCAGTGTTTCGTCCTGGCGGCGGCGCAAGTCGGCCGGCACCACGAGAAGCGCTCGTCGTACGGCCACGCCCTCGCCGTGGACCCCTGGGGTGAGGTGCTGGGAGACTGTGGAGGGGAGAAGCCAGGCATGGTGCTGGTGGAGATCGACCTGGAGAAGGTCAGCAGCACCAGGAGGAACATGCCGGTCCAACAGCACCGCAGAAACACTGATTTTTATCAAAGTCTGGAGAAGAGTTGACTACAAGAGAAGAGCAACACTCTAACTCTGAGTCACTGAAAGGACGAGGCTGACAGGAAATCAGTTTGAATACGGGAAACACACTAATCAGAAATGTGTCTTTGGTTTTATATTTCAAAGACTTTCAGGTGGATAAGGAAACGTCACATAGCATCATGAGCACTTTGATTTGAAGTGATTTTTCACGAGGATTAAACGAGAATGTTTTATGTTGTTTAATCAGATATAGCAAGTGGAGATATTTTTGGAGATATATTTGCATATATTGTTCTCAAATCAAGCTTTTACTGATTAAATATAAACAAATGTAAGCATGAAAAAACATATCTTGATGAAATAAATATGTAAAGTTCATCGCAGCTTCTGACGCAGTTTAAGGAAATGTAGCTTAACATTTAAGTCATCGTGTCATTACTGCTGTAGTTTATCTAATTTCTATTTGTAGTAACCAAAATCAAAAAGCACGGATCAGACCAAATGAGTCTAAATGCTGTATAATGGTCAATAGATGGCACTGGTGGGTTGTAACACTATCAGAAAAGGGAGGAAATGGCAGTAAAAAAGTGAAAGCGTCCTGGAAGACACTGACCTGTGGTTCTAATGGATATTTACAAATCCACTTGTAACTTTCCTGGGTTTTAATTAAATACTGTCATGCTTAAAGATTATTATAAACCCAACGTCTGAACCTTCGCTTGGTTTGTTTGTCTCTTGTTTCTTCACTTTCTTTATTTTGTTTGATGGTAGCACATTATCAACATGTCCATACAAAAAAAAAAACATATATCTATCCCGGAAGACTTGTTAAAGTGGCTCCTGGTTTTGCTGAGAACGACCAATTATCTTATATAAAGTTGTGTCAAAATCCACATTTTTAAAATTGTATTTAAACTTGTAAGTTGTAACCAATCCTGTTTACATAAGAAAAATGCAATACTCTCGTATCCTTATTACGTAATTGTTCTTCAGATTCATTGAGTAGATAGTCTATGAAATATCACGTTACTTTGTATTTCAGAGTTTTCTACAGTGTGGTATTGGCCCTTTTACACAAGTTAAATCTCTAAATGCCTTCTCTGGCAATGCATAACTACACAACACCATTTGTCATTTGTATGTTCTGCCTCCACTGTGTTTTATCCCGTTTGATTTGCACTGGATGAATTAATGATCACATTCTCTCCTCCCTGCCTGTTCTAACATCACACAGACTGTGGGTGGTTTCTGCTGTAAGGCTGGGAAACAGGAAGTGAACGTCATTGACACAGGAATGGGACTGAAAAAGGAAAACACCATGATGATGAGGAGAATGTCAAATCCACTCGTGTAGCAAACACAAATCCCCGTTTCAACTGCAGGGAAAGAGGATGCATTGTCGAGCTGGAATTGAGGCAACAGGAAGGTAGGTGGTTGTCTGTGTTTATCAGCGGTAATGACGGTATGTTAATTTAAGGAAAGGAGGTCTGTGTGTGTGTTTCACCATCAGAGGCCATCCATCCATACTCATACCGCTGAGTATGGATGTTAGCTCATTGTGCAGCTTGTGTGAATTATCTGCAAATTCGCTTAATGAATGTATTTTGCGCAGAAAATCACGCTTTCTTTGGTGTAAGGCCCTCGGCTGTTTGCTAAGTGACGCTGAAGTTTCACAATCCATCGACTGCATGAAAACCGTCCCATCTTCATGTGCTTTTCCCCGGTTATTTCACCATGAAATGCAGATGTTACGTTAATGCATGCACTGCTTTCGGCTGAGCATTTGCTGAAATCATCCACGCTTTCCCCTCAGTACACCATGTAGCTGAATGTAGCTTGTAATTCAGTGTGAACGCTTCTTTACAGTGTGAAAAGTTGGGCTTGATAACAAACGCTGTAATTTAGAACCGTGAGTTCTAGTCGACTAAATGATTGGTCGATTATGAGGAAACTTATTGCTACTTAATTGTATTGCACATAATTGTTAAAGTGTCAGAAGATGCTTCTTAAAATAGCCTCGGAAATATAGAGATTACGTTCTTTCTCTGTTATTTATAATATTTTATACAATATATTTGGATTTTGGATTCGCAAAACAGTTAAAGACATCACTTTGTTATGTGAGAAACTGAAACTGGTTAGTTAAATGTGAGAAAGGAAAAATGCTCAAATACATGTTCCAGAAGCCTACATCATGTCACATAAAGGCTTATTTAGTCTAATCAAAAGTCCAAACCTGAGAGATTTTCACCTCACAATGATATGAAACAGAGAAAGGAAGGAAACACACATTTTAGGAGCTGGCATCGGCATAATTGTGAGTTTTTGCTTGTTGAATAACTTTTACAATTAACTAAAAACATGTATATTTAAGACTATTTGTAACCTTCTTCTGTGAAAAAATGATTTACAGTACATCCGCTTGATATTAATTTTATTCCATTATACTGTAGCCTACATGTCGACAAGATATACTTGACACCAAAGTAGGATAATGTTAAACATAAACTCGAGTTAATGTTTTCGCGCTGTTACTTCTTCGCTCCATCCCTTCTAAGGTATTCAATTTATGATTGGCGGACCCTCCTCTCATTGTAGAGTCCTTCTCTTTCCAGCCAGCATCAAAGACTGATCAAACCAAAGGCACACAACACACAGCTATGGCTGTTGGTTTAATCAGCGCTCCTGATTGTGTTACGTCTGTCTGGAGTGTTTCCGTCATTTTGTTAAACATGACCTTAGAGAGTTACATTCACAGCCAGAGAGTCCAGACATCTCACTTAAGTGTTTACGCCCCCGCCTCTTAAACAGTTATCCATAGTTAATGACCTTTAAGTAGAAAGTCAGATTTCAGACTTTAGCAACTTCATTTGAATCTTATATTTAAAATATCAGACTTAAATTAACATCCTCATAACAACATTTATTTTTAAAAGTTCTCACAAAATGGTTAGTATCATGCAATTGAAGCACAATGAGATTCCTTAATGAACATCCGGTAATTTTTCACCCCTAAATTAGGTATGTTCACTAGTCTGTTAGATTTTATTCAGAGTCCTTATTATTATTCTAGGATGCATCCATTGCTGTCTCCTAAGTGATATAATATGCTCAGACTGGTGGAGGCTGGATCAAATTGATAGCTGAAAACTCCTCATTGATCGCACACACACATACACATACACACACAAACTAAGACACACACTCTAAAGGATTTCTTGAATGGCTGCATTTTATTTTTCTCTCGAAGCAGGCCAGAAAGAGCATGTATTATTCATCTTATAGAATTCATTTTGTAAACGTTGGAACTTCCTTTATCTTCAATCCGGCCTGTCGAATGCTTTTTTTCACGCAATTTTTTACCGGCTTAAGACGTATAATTCAAAGGTATTTAATTTAAATTAGTTGCGGGTTAACATAATAAAAACTTAATGATTTGGAAAAAATAAAAGATGATATGTTAATTATGATGTAAATCCACTTAAAGCTGTAAATACAACTTCAACATAATATTTGGTTTTTGTCCTGCGTAGTATTTTCTCTAATTGACCTCGGCAGTTAGCTAGAGCTGCATGTTAAGATAAGATACAATTTACTTTATTGATCCCAACTTGGGGGGACATTCTTTCGCCAGGACTATGTAAGAAAAGACATAATGTTAGAATGAAATAGAGCAGAAAATAAACACACAAACATCTCAAAATAGAAACTAAAACAGAACTAAAAAGTAAAATATATTCATATTGACAGAGAAAAACGTACATCTGAAGACTATCTGTCAAATTCAAAATATGAAGAAATTAGAGCTAACAAACTTTAATTGTTGTTATTATTATTGAGGAGTCCATGCTGCGTGATGAATGTTTAGCTAAACAGCGATCCATATATTGATCTCTGGCTGCCGTTTGAAGGATGTATGTCAACTCATCGTCTCTGGGGGAGGTGTGAGCCGGTCGGTTAGACAGAGGGAGGGAAAACTGCTGAGTCACATCCCAGCAACAGTAGCCTGGGCAACACCTCCATAGTGACCAGCCGGAGGAAGATAACGGCCCTCGCTGCTCAACTAAGTTGTGTAACATCAGCAGACCCTGCAGCATTTTGTTCCCTTGCTGTTGTTATCGACCTCCACACACACACGCACGCACGCACGCACGCACGCACGCAAGCACGCACGCACACGCACACACACTCTGCCTTCTCTTTAGATTATCCACGTCCTCTAACGGTAAAATGAAATCTGACACGTATAGGATAGTAGCCCCCTCAGTAAGCAACACACTGTCGTCTGATTACTGTTTTGATCACTGTTACAAAAGAAGAGACATGAAGAATGTTCTGCAGGCGTAATTATAGCAATCAAATGTCACCACAGAGAGAGAAACAGAATATCAAATGAAACGTATAAAAGACATGAGGCTCAGCTTGAGATATTCAGTTCAGTCACAACTGTCTGTTTTTAAAAAGGTAATTTCAAGTTATTAACATGTGTTTTATGATCTCACTCTAATTTGTCCTGGTTAGCAATACTGCATGAATTTTCATTCCTTTGGGATCAAACTAAACCACAAAGCTTAGTTTCAATTAGAGATGCCCTGATTCCAATATAATTAAGAAATATAATTGACAGTATACAGATACATCTTTCTTTGTCAAATTAAATCGTTTGTTGCTAATAAAACATTGTCTATTAAAGTTATGTTCCTCAACCGCAATAAATTACAGATGCTTTACTCAACTTTGCCAAACAAACCTAAAAATAAAAGTTCTCCAGATTACAGGCTTAAATAAAATCCAATTGAAAATTAAATCCATGTTATCAACTTTATCTCTTGTCCCAGGAGAAAACTGTCAGTTTCTGTCCATCCCGCTGTGTGGGACGTTCAAACATTATGCGTGTTGTTGATATTTGCAAATAGCAGATATGAGACTCATTGTTTAGTTTCGATAAGAGGCCGACCGATCAATGCTTTGCAAGTTTCAATCCCTTGTTCTGGGCCAAATCATAACGAGAAGTCAAAGAGAAACAGAAACCGCATCACATGAGTTAAATGATCTAAGCCTCGAGATTGACTCAAGCTGAATTGAATTTCCTGAACACACTGATTCGATAAAGCTCAAATGGAAATCCCGTGTCATGGTGAGTGAGTGTGAGTGTTCCCTCTTCACCTCACATTATACAGAGGGTTAGTGGTCTTTAGTTTCACTGGTGCTTGCAGAATCCGTTTGTTCAGGATAGCTTGTGCCATTTTGTATTACTACTATTATAACAAAGTGTCTGGATTTCATTGTGATAAGAGAGACTAAAGGAAAGGGTTTGGCGCTAAATGCTCTGAACAGTCAAAGATTGAATTCACTTCTTGTCGAGATACAGTTGACCTTCTTTTGATTTGGCATTCACTTTCTGTTTTCTTATGTTTTTCACATTGTATTCAATCTTCAACTTTTTCGTTTTCTTCGCTTTGTGATCATCATGTGACCTTTGCATAATGTCCCATTTCAAAACAATTTCAAAATGAAATCGAAAGTTGAAGCCATTCAGGTTGCTATGAAGGGAGCTTGGAAATCAATGAGGCCTTTTTTAACAGAGATATAGAGGAATATGGAGTCGTCTTCTGAAATCAGTCTATCTTCCTCCTGAACTCTCTTCTTGTCCTTTCCTTTATTACATAGTGACCCCTCATGCCTTGAGGCTGATATCCCTATGAATATATTCAGGTTATCTTCTCATTGTCACTCTCATCGCTCTGTTTGGTGAGGATCATTTTAGGTCACATCTGTCCCGTTTGTGCTCACATTTCGTGGTGTAGTTTCCCCCTCCTCCACTGGGGGGCAGGGCGACATGCTGTGTGTCTCTGCTCTCTTTAGGCCAGCAGTTGTGTTATCATACTGCAATCCTCCTCTTATTGTACAGAGGACATCCATGTGTCATTGTAATCCCTCAGTCTATAAATACACCACTTGGCAGAGAACAGAACATTTTAAAATCACTGCCAAATATCTCGACATTTTAAGGAAATAAAAAAAAGCAAAACAACATTTATATATAGATAAACATGAAGATTAGTCTTATCCTTAGCTTTTGTAAATATAAAACCAAGTCAAATATGTATTTATGTTAAAAATATATTAATTGTGGGCTAGCCTAGACATATGTTTACATCTCTAGGTTACACAACTTTGAATTAATGTATTCCAACACTCACATTTTCGTATGGTGTTAATCTCATAGGTGAGATACATTTTTACGTCAGCTATAAGATTCCATTGAACCTCATCTCTGTCATGCCTGGTTGTCTCTGACAGCCTTCATCTTTATAAATGTCCTGTATCGCCTCCATCTCTTTCCGTCCACATCTCATTCCCTTTTTGTTTTACTTAATCTTCCATCACGGTGCGCTCCAGCAGTTACAGTGTTTCAGTCAGACTGTCTCGGATCCCTCAAGGTTATCTGCACCTCAGAAAATGTGTTTCATATGTTTCACTGAAAGTTGGAAGAAGGTCCAAATTGTCTGTGAAGTTTATGGAGCCGTTTGTGACTTTGCGGGCACATCTCATGTATGTTTTGGTTTCCTAGAAAAGACACTTGTTTCCTCATCTTCCTAATGCATCCACAGAAATGTGATGTTTGACATAAATCAACAAGGTGATTCTCCGTTTACTCGGAACAAGCTCTAGATACCAGCTGTGTTTGTTTAAGCTATAAAGTGGATTTCTTCTTCACTAAATGTGTGTATGACTATAACCTCTCCATCACAGCATCCCCGAGTGTCCATCTTTCATTCTGTCTGCACGTTAACAACCCGCCCTTCTCATCTGTGACCGTCCCACTCCACCTTGTAGACTCAATAATCTCGCATCCTCACAACACGGTGTATCTCCACCTCCTCCCTCCCTCCCTCCTTATCACCCAGGGCACCGGCGCGTTGCTAAATGGAGTCGGAGCAGCTGTACCACAGAGGCTACTGCAGGAACAGCTACAACAGCATCGCCAGCGCCAGCAGCGACGAGGAGCTGCTGGATGGAGCCGGCGCCGTCATGGACTTCCACACCACCGAGGACGACAACCTGCTGGATGGGGACGCGGTCTCCCCAGGTAGGGAGAACGGAAATGCCTCCCCTCTCTTGATTCCCCTCCATGACCCAGTCTTTGACGAACCCTCACCATCCAATCAGATTCTTGAATTCTTTGCGCTGCGTCTTCGAGTCCAGAATCAAGTTTTTTCCTCCTGAGTAAGCACACAGGTCGCTGCTTTTGTCATGAGTCAGCCCACTGCTGGTGTCGAGACGCATCAAGTGTGTGTTCGCTCGTGTGTGTTGCTGGCGCACTCGCTCTGCCATCCGCCCCCCCCCCCC